AAGGGAGACATCGAACCTGTAATATCATTTGCTTTGAGTGGTTTCCTTTTGCTTTCAATCGAGAAGCAAGTGAGCGCCAAAGGGGGTGCTGGCCTGAGTCCCAGTGATCCCGGTGTGAGAGGAGGTGCCGGTGAGCACACGCCGTGTCCCTGCTCTGTGCCGGACATCGTAATAAACAATCTTCTGCGATAACTTACATGATGCTGACAACGGCCCCAAGCGGCTGGCTCTGCTGTTAATTTAGTTTTACAGATGAGAAAACTGAGGCACAGAGAAGTGATTTTCCTGGGGTCACAGAGCTTGTAGGAGTTAAAGCTGGGATGCTCACCCCGACATCTGCACCAGATTCCAGTTTATGAGGAAGAGTGTGTGATGAAGCCCTGGTCCTGCGTTTTCTCTCAGGCTCATGGCTTTGTTTCCACAGCTGGGCGTGCAGCCTTCCGCTGTCTCGGGGTGGCGGGCCCAGGCTCCCCTCTGTGTTGTGGAATGAATGAGGCACAGACAAGAGAAGCGGCACCCAGGTGCAGCCCCGCCCTTTCCCTCCAGCCTTCAGCCACACCTCCCGGGCGGGAGACCAGGACAGACCCCAAGCAGGAAGTGCATCCACAGGAGGGAGACCTCGATGACCACGGCTGCTTTTTCTCCCTCTGGCCACGGCTCTCACTTTGTTGACGTAAACAATGGGGCCAGAAGGGACTTTGCTTTTTTGGGGGTTTTTTTAACCACATTTACAAGGTGTTAATGAAATGCCCAGCATTGTATTGAGTGTTTTCTACCTGTAAGAGGCTTCTGTCAAGGCCTAGAAGATAGATCTCAGATCCAAAGGGTTCCAGACTAAGCAAACATCACTGGGAGGGTGTGGAGAACCAATGAGGGGCACTCAAAGCCTGTCCCCAGGAGAAAAACGTCAGGGCTTGAGAGAAAGTGTGATGGTTTTTGGAGAGAGCTGTTAGTGCCCTGTGAGTTCCCCCCAATGCACACGGGGCTGAATGCCTGCCTCTCACCTCACCCCCCAGGACAGCAGGTGCAGTGGGTCCCTTGGAGAGACTGACATGTGCCCCCTGGTGCTTGGGGACCTGATTCCAGCCTGGAAAGCTGAAAACGCCAGGCTGGCTGGAGGCTCTGTCCGCAGAGCAGCTGCTGCCTTGTAATTCTAGGGCCAAATCAGGCCCAGATGCTTCCAATGGGCCAGCTGTGGGCCTCTGAGAGAGACACCGGCGTGGGGTCATCCAAGGAGCTGTCCAAGAGGATATCCTGGAAGGACAAACAGACTGCTGCAGGCAGATGCTAGGGCAGCACCCAGGAAGGAGCAAGCCACCGGAGGAGGAAAGCATGATCCTGCTTGGAAGAGCCAGAAGGAGGAAGGAATTCCCCAGAGGCAGGGTCTCCAATGAGCCCAGGAACGACCCACCGAGGCCTCCGAGCTTCAGAGAGCAGAGGCCTGTCGCAGCAGGCAGGGCACCTGGCATGGGCCCCTTACCCCTCACCCTGCCTCCCTCCCTGCTCTTCTTAGTCTTGGTGGGGGGCGGGGGCAGCTGGGGTGGGAGGAGCAGAAGAGCAGAGCTGGGAAGAGGGGCGCCCACCCCTTCCCTTCTCCAGCAGGGGCCTCCTGTCCGCAGCCGTCCAGGCTGCCAGCGCTCACTGCCACCCCACGAAACTGGGACTTGAAGGGGGGGTAGTTTGCATAGCAAAAGTCTTCTTCATTTAACCGAAGTGGCCACCTTTGAAGGCATATCAATTTTCCATTAAAGACAGACCTTCTCTGGTGTGTTTTAATTATTTTGAATTACTAATATTTTGTATACCTCTGTCTCATCACCACACCCAAAAAATTAGCTTTTGCGAGCAAATACTTCATCTCATTCTCCCATGGTCCCCTCCACAGGACCCATCACCAGAGGCTCTGGAAGATTCGATGACTCACACAGGCCTTTCAGGGGCACACCAATTGTATAAAGTGAGGTACAGTCATAAGCAAGGTCAACCCACCCTGTTTTCAGATTACTCCAGCTGAACAAATCTATAAACCATCCCTCAGTCTTTTTCTCTCTGTGTTTTCAAGCAGTAGGTGGCTGTAAGGAAAATACCACCTTGTGTTTGTACAGCACTTTACAGCTTCAAAGGCACGCTCACAGCCCAGAGTCGCCCTCCACCCACACGCTCATCCCAAGTCATTCCCACCCCATTTCCACCCACAAGGCTGCTTCTCCTGATGGCCAGCCCCGTGCCAGCCTCTGCCAGAGGGAGGCCAAGTGCCCCAATCCCCCTGCCCCCCGGGTGCGTCCATGTGGTCCATGTGTTACAGGACGCATCTCCTCGTGAAGAAATGCGGGCAGAGAGCGAAGGGCAGCGTGTTCAGGTTCTGTTTATTGTGTTCTCACAGCCGTGTTTATAGTAGAGGTGAATGACATGATGGCACTTTGCACGCTAATGAAACAACTCAATGAGGACTCTGTGAGCCAAGCGGTTTCTATGGCAGATGAGCTGCTACAATCTGTCGTGCGCGCCGCGTGACTCAGCTCGTGCTGTCCTGCCTGGAGCGCACCCCAGCCCAGCCGCCTTTCCGTACCTGGCAGAGGGGAGGGAGCAGAGGGGCAGGAGGGAGGAAGAATCAAGAAGGGAACAGATCACGGAGAGGACCCAGACCCCGCACCTGGGAACCCAGCGGCCCATCCTGCCATCTCTCATCCTGGTCCACAGCATCTCGTGAATGCCAAGAGGTCACAGGGGGACAGGAAGACATCTCTGCTCTCGGCTCCTTCCTTCACAGTCCCACGCCACGTAGCCCAGGCTCTCCACACCGGGCAGTGACCTGGCCATCTCTTTTGCTTCTAAAATGGAGGATGCAGACTCAGAGAGGACTGGCATGTGGCAGACTGAAGGATAGCCTCGGGTGCAAAGTCATGATTCCTCTGCCTTGCTCGGAAGCGGGCACCGACGGGGTCAGGGGAGCTCTGGGTGCCCTTGTGGATGGGAGACCGTCCTGCCTCTGAACATGCCACGCCTCACCTTTCCCTTCTGGTTTATGGAGAAGCAGGTGCCACGTGAGCGGCTTGTCTCTTTCCCCCTTGCTCCTTCCTCTTCAGTCTTCCCCATTCCCAGCCTCCCCCCAGCTCTCAGCACGAGTCCATGCCTCTCCCTCACGGTCCAGGGCCTGGAGAACCTGGACACCCAGCCCGGCCGAGGACAGGCGCCCGGGACCTGCGCCCAGAGGCTGGGCCGGCAGCCTGGGCAGAAAGCCGTTTCGCAGCTTTGGTTCATCCAGAGCAGCAGGTTCTGGGGGCAGCACCGGAGAGTGAGGTCAGCTAGGAACTTTCCAGCTGCCCGTCTGGCCTGAGACCAGAGAGGGAACGGTGAGGGCGTAGGGCAGGAACCCAAACCCCTTGGTGGCCTTGGAAAAGAAAGCCTCAAAGGGCTTGACAACCCGAGGGTCTGACACCCTCTACTGAGAAATCTGGGACTTGTTGTGTTACCACTGTTACCACCTCACCCTCTTCACCCGTTCCCTGAGTCCAACCACCATGTTGCAGGGCCTTGGGGACAGAGACACAGCCTGACACGAAACGACCAGGCACAGGAGTGCATGAGGACAGACGGACAGGGAAGCAGCCCGGCAGGTGAGCTGGGAGGCTGCACTGTGACTTGGGAGGCGCGGAAAACCCCAAGGGCCCCTCCGGCCCCCGGTGCTGGCCCGCCCGCTGCCTGACACCGCACGGAGCTGCGGCAGAAGCAGGTTCCTCCCGGATGAGCAAGGCAGACGGAGAAGGCGCAGAGCGGCCACCCTAAGAGTCCAGTTCAGGGCCGGCCGGTTCCCAGTTACCGTGCTTGCCGGCGCCTGGGCGCGCGCCGGCCCTCCCGCCACACGGCTGTGCCTCGCCCTCGGCTGGCTCCTCCTCACGCCTCAGGCCCAGCCTCCCAGCCTCCCAGCCTCGTCTGCACAGTGGAATCACCCGTGGGGCTGATGCCTCGGGTTCCCTGCCCAAGTTGTTCTGGGGCGGGACCTGGACACCTGGGGTGTTTTAATTCCCCAGGTGAACCACCAAGGTGAACGCGTCTCTCTTAGACCACTGTCTTGGACCATCTTTTTTCAAAGTAGGGTCCACAAGCCACCACGCACCTGGTAATTTATTAAAAATGCAGATTTCTGGGCCCTACCCCAGATCGCTTGGACCGGCATCTCTAGATGTGGAAACCTGGGAATTAGCACTTGTCACAGGCTTGCCAGGTGACCCCTGCACACCTTCAAGTTAAATGATAACACGTTGCTCAGGGATCCTTCCTCACCCCAGAGCTGCCCAGGGCCGTGAATGGTTGTCGCTGACTGTTCTGTTTGGCTCGCCAAGGGCAACAGGAAATCTCACACCAGCCCCCAAGCAGGTTAACACTCAAGCAGGGCCACAAGGCCACTCAGCGATGGAGAGCAGTCCTGAAAGTCACAGCTCCGTCCAGCCTGCTGCCCTGGCATGCCTTGGGCTTTCAAAGGTCCCAGGCACAGAGCGAGCCTCGAGCCCAGGAGGCAGTCCACAGCACAGGCCCGGCATGAGGAGCAAAGGAAGACGTGAAACGGAGGGAGCGGCACCCGTGGGCGCCCACCTAGTGCGGCAGAGGTCTGGGGGCGAGGGGCTGGGGTGGAGCGGGACTTGGAGATGCAGACGGTCAGGGATGAGGTATGCTTGGATATTGCTCTAGATGTTGTAAACATTTCTCCTTATTTCATCACAGACCAAAATCTGGGTGGGCATGACCAAAGTGCCTGAATGCAGCATCAGAGCAGAGCGCTCCGTGCCTCTTGTGGGAAGCAGGTCATAAAGGGTGTGAGGAAAGCTCAGCCCATGGGAAGATCATCTCTGTGGTGTACGAGTCTAGTGCTCATAACTGTCTCACACACACACACGCACACGCACACACTCACTTTCCACAGGAGTACCATACACATAGCTATCACGTTCCTCTACACACGAACGTACACCCACAACACACTCACTTAGCGGCAAGTTTCAGAATACCCAGGCTTGGTCCTTCTCACCTCCCCATCGTGGGAAGGCATCACCAGGCGCCATGACCCCACCATCAGCAGCCTGCATCCCACCAAGAGCTGGCGAGAGCTCTTGGCTCCACATGAGGCCACCGCCCAGTGCTCTTGTTCAGACTTTCCTCCTGGGAACAGTGGAAGTGGCGAAAAGGCCCCTCTTAGCACATTTCCTGTTTCCATAACTCTGTGCTCTTCCAATTTATCTGCACCTCATATCCGACAGTACAGTTGGCAGCAGATGCACATTTCATATGTAAACAACGTTTAAAATACCCTGTTCGAGATTTTGATCATTAAATTAATTCTGGCAGCTTAAGCTAAGGATGGTTTTTCACCAGTGGGGGCAGGGGAACACTACCTGATCTAACTAGGAACACCCACGTGCGGCCTCAGAGTTCGTGAATGGGGAATTCCCAGCTGTCCCCGGGAGGCCCATGTGCTCACACAGATGTTCACACTCACAGATGCACGGCAGGGCAGTGGACCCTAACAGCCAGGGGGACTCAAGAGCCTTCTGGGCCTTGTCTAGCTGTAGCCAAGGAAGGAAGAGATTCGTGAAGTTACTGGACAAGTATGCAAACACAGGAACACCTGCACATCTAAAAAGGCAGCGAGAGGAGAACGCTTCAGCCCGGTTCTCAATCGCCTGCACGCCAGAGCTCACACCTAATCACATGCTGTTTCATTTAGTCCATCTGGAAGTGTTGTAGCTCTGCCGTGGATCCAAACCCAATGGCTGTGAATGACCCCAACAGCACGCCCTCCGCGATACAGGCCACTCTTCCAGGCTCCTCTTCCACATTTGGGTCTCTCTGTTGAGGACTTGTCTCCTTGGCTCTGCAGTCTTGGGCCAAAGTCAGCTTCTCCCTGGGCAGCTGGAGTAGGTTTCCTGTGTCTGGCTCATCCTCCAAGGAAGAGTTTCCTGATGTTTTTCCAAGAGCATCCCCAGGGCAGCACGAAGCCATTTTCCGAAGGTCTCCACAACCAGATGTTCACAGTGGTCTTAGCCTCACCTCCTGGTCCATGTTCAGTCTCTGAAAGTCAGAGGTCAGGAAGGAAGCCGCCAAACAGCCAAGGTGGCCCTCATGAGCGGGACCTTCCTGAGAACGCACACTCCCCGGAAGCAAGCTGGAAGGAGTGATGGCCTAAGTTCCCACTCTCCCCATCATGACTACATGGCCTGCATGGGGGGCGAGGGGGAGAGTCAGGGGAAGTGGGAGGCACCGCGGAGCTGTCCATGCTCCTCTGGTTACGGGAGTTCACCTCCCTTTACCACGCTGTCTGTCATTCTAAGAGATCCGTGATGGATGCGCGGGGAGGCGACAGCAGACAATACATTAAGCAACAGAGGGTTCTATGTGCCCCACTGCACGGAGGTCTACCAGCGTTGCACTCCATGCTTATTCAGCTTCTGGAACACTTTTTGGCAGGACCGAGGAGATCTGCAAGCTGAATCTTTCTCAGTAGCAGCTCCACGTCAGACGTCAGGAAGGGCAGCTCCCGAGGCCCCTTCTGGAACTGCAAGGGTCAGGGGGTCTTGTGAGCTTTCTAGGCTGAGATGGGCAGTGACCGCGGCTTTTCACACCGGTCCTGCGGAAATGGAAGAAACAGCCGACTCCACGGAGTCCGCCCCTCCTCTCAGAGGCCACCTGTCAGTGACAGTGCGAGAAACCCTGGATGCCCCAGAGACCTCTCTCCTAAACTGTGAGGTCCCAGCACCCAGGACTGGCCATGACGTGGTGACAGCAAATCACAGACGTGAGCCAGAGTCTTCTAGCTTTTCCTCACAGGGGTGTGGGACAAGTTAGAGAGTCGGGAATCCTAATGGAGGAGGGGGCGGGGCTGGTGGAAACTGCATCTGCATTATTTACACATTAGCCCAGCACAGCAGCTCTGCCTTCTCAGTGGACATGATCCAAGGCATTATGGTGGGCGTGTGGCCGACCCAGAGAAGGGTGACAGCGACAAGGTGCTACCACTAACCGAAACACAAACGTGGGTAATGGAATAAAGTCCGAGCTCCGGTGGCTGCATCATACTTCGGAAGGGCCCTTCATCCCCGACTCACTCCCAGCCTCCCAACCTAAGCGCCTCTGCTTTTGAACACCTATGACATTTCACATTAGACTATGTTCTTGGCAGCAAGGGGAGGGGAAAGCCGGCGATCTCCAAGAGTCCCCGACTGAGGTCTAACTGAGCCTCCTCTGGTTTTGGGACAGCAAATCCAAGTACATTTTGGACCTCAGGAACCGGGGGTACGAGTCCTTCTCCATGAGGCTGTGCACTTTCCCCTGGGCCTGGTCGAAGCACGTCAGGGATGGCTCCTGCATGTTCTTCCTCGTGGCTTCTCGGGTCTGGAAGTCTATGTTTACCTGGAGACACAAACAGAGAGCGTGGTCACAGGCCTGCAAGGCCCAGGGTACCTGGAAGTTGGTCCTATATAATAATTAATGACAGCATCTTAAATACATATTCATGCTTTTCAAACTGCTTTCATGAAGTTCATCCCTTTTGACCCCGGGAAGAATCCTGTGAGAGCTGAAGACCAGATATTCTTTGTCCCAGTTTATAGATGAGGATACTGAAGTCAAAAGATACCAAAAAGCTAGTCTAATGCAATGTGGAAAGTTAGGAGAGCAAACCCTCAAATTACTTCACTCCTAGTCCAGGGATCTGCACAGTGTCAGGCAAAGAGTTAAACCAGAGGCAAGCACTGATGTGGATTCCCTAACAGGAGCCTGCCCTTTTGTCCTCTCTTAACTAGGAAGGAAACCAGTGCCCTGGGGAGAAAGACTACACTTAGAACAAATGTTTGCGCTCCCATCAGCTTTATAAGGAGCCTGCAGCAATCTGGCCACTGGCTGAAGACCCCCTGTGTCCCAAGTCAAATCACAGTTGAAGAGTTCTAGGTACAAAATGCATCTCAACTCGGAGACAGCAACTATTTTTCTCCTATAAGACCCTCCCAGGTAAAACTCTGTTTTGTGACTCAGAGAACTCAGAATAACAGTACGTAGAAATTCATATTATTATTATAAGTAATTATAATAAATTATCATAAAACACTACGAATGACTGTAATTAGTCATTAACAAGCAGTGACAAACAGTGAACTGGTACTTTATCCCTAATACTCACAGTAGTCTTAAAAGCTAGGTGATATTATACCCTTTTACATTATGTACCCAAATGTGATTCAGAGAGACTAGGTGACTTGACCAAGATCACACAGTGAGTAAGCAGTGAGCTGATACGGGAACAGGATTCCAAAGCACATGCTCGTCCCATCAAGCCACACCGCCTTCCACTAGGGACACGAACGTGGGTTCAGTGGCATCTAGTTTGCAGAGTCCCTACAGAGACAGGTCCTGCTGGCCCCTGTTTACCTGACAGGCAGCTAACGGAGCTCCTTTTTCTGGAACCCCTGGGCTCTGCACTTTAAAAGTGATCCCTTTGTATCAAGAGCCATCAGAGCAGTGAGGTTCAGAAGAAAGTCCCCATCAAATGTGGCACAGACCCCCAGAGGGGACTGACACGAGCCCGGGAGAGCCTTGTGACAAGACCCAACACACCTCCCTCGGAGCCTGCACATCCACGAACTCCTCAAAGATCCTGTGCGCCTTGGAGACCAGCTTTGCAGTCGACCTGGTCTTCTTGAACTCCTCACAGGCCAGCCAGAACTCCAGGTTCTCCTCACTGAACTCCGTCTTCAGGAAGGCACGGAACGCAGCCACCCCATCTGTGGATGCGGAGGGAAGTGGAAAGGAAGAGAAATAATAGGAAAAGGTTCAGCTCAAGAACTGCAGAAGCAAGAGCGAGAGGCAGTCATAATGCGACAGTGGCCCCGACTGCCCACCCCCACTGCTGCTCCTGCACATCCTTCGAAGCCTCCATTCTCTTACACACCCAGGTCCCCTCAGAGACAAGCCATGTTTCTCATTCGAGGGTCAGGGGGATACTAGGGGGCAATGTTTAGGAAGCCATCACAGCAATGACTATGGGAAGGCCCAGTCACTTCTATTCAGCCCTCAGTGGTCACTACCTGTCCCCTAATACAGACTTGGCTGTCCCCTGGGTCCCCTGGTGAGCTTGCATTTCTAATTAGGCCAAAGTAATATATGTAATCCATTCCCCGCCCCAATCCAAGTCAGCCAACCTGAAAAAACAATCTGTCACAAGACAAACTGGGGGGGGAGGCAAATGCCTCAGGGCAAGTCCCTCACTATTAGCAGGAAAATGTCAAAGTAAACACCCCACTGAAATACAGTCTGTAATGCCATCCTGTTACATGGACCGGTTCCCCTTTAAAAAAAACTTCGGGGGCCCTGTATTTTAATGATTTATTCCACGGATCCTTTATTTTCAAAAGATCTTGCCTATCTGGGGGAGGGTATAGGTCAGTAGTAGAGTGCATGCTTAGCATGCACGAGGTCCCGGGTTCAATCCCCAGTACCTCCATTTAAATAAATAAATAAACCTAATTACCTCCCCCACCAAAAAAAAAAAAAATTAAAAAAAAGATCTTGCCTATCAAAGTATATGCTTTAATTAAGATTAATTATAACTTTTCTACCAAATGATTTAACGATTAACATACCCTTTCATTTTTCTTAAACGATGTCTCGCATATTGCCAGAGTTTCCAATTGGAGTAAGATGAGCAGGGTTACCACACAGATTTGGAAAGGGAAACAATATTCATTGATAACCTAGGCATTCATCTGGCATTTTTATTTTAAAATAATTTTTACAAATTATCTTAACCCTTAACGCACGCTCCCCAAGTCAAATGAGAGCTTTAGGTTCCTACCAACTGTCCTCGGGGGAAGGGCAGATACAGACTAAAATAAAGGGCTGCACTGGTTACAAATGACTCTGGCTATAATGTCTTATTCCTCTTCTAAAATTTACTAGACGGACTATATGTTAACAGTTCTTAATTCTGGGTGATGGGATCCCCTGAGCATCTGAGGTCCATTCACACGCACCAGGACCGTGCACGGTCTGGCATCATTCTGTGGACTGGTGGCGCCGTGGGGTGACATATTCAAATATTTGTTTTTAATTTTCTGAAACGTTTTTATTTCTCCTAATTAAATAGTCATTGTTTGTCTTTCAAAATAGATGTTTTAATGTGCACACTAGAATGCTAGCCATAAAAGCCAAGACTTTTAATTGTAGGAGTCAGGAACTTGAGAGAGAAAAGGGTTTTGGTGGAACTTCCTAAAGCTAAACTTTAAATCACAAAGACATCTAAGTTTGGAGGCCTGAGCTTAAATAAAGGGTTTTAACAAAAATAGAGGTGGTCATGAAATTTATCAGCCCAGCCAGGACATTTCTGAGAGTGAAGGGGGCGCCTTCTGTTAATTACATCAGGACAATGAACATAAACCACGACCATCACAGGCGACAACCAGGATACACGGTCACCTTGACTGTAAGACAAGAAGTCTGGAGAAAGCAGAATGTGAGGCAAGGTTGTTTCCCACTAGGCAGGATGGAAACAAAATTGTTCTTGTGCCAGGCAGGGGAGGAGGATGGGGAGGGTAGCATCGTTTGGATGCACATGAGAGGTCCTCTCAGGGCCCCACACACCCTCCACCTTACACTGGGTTCCAAACCCTGAGAGGAGGGAGCAGAAATCTGAGAAAAACTGAGAATCAAAGTGAGCATGAAACAGTGGCGTGGCAACGATTAGGCAGAGAGATGGTCTGAGAATCATTCGATTCAATAATTAAAAAAAAAAACTGCTCATGTACCAAGTACTGTGCAAAGTCTATCCCTGTCTGCAAAATCCTTTATGGATGCTCCTTCCACTGCACCGTGTCTCCTCCGGGTTCTCATAGAGAAGATCCAGATGTTCCCGCGGAGTCCAGAACGAGCAGGGTCTGAGCGCTGGCACGCCTGCCAGGGGGTGGCTGCCGCGGCAGAGGCGACAGGCAGAGGAGGGAGGGAAGCCACCTGCCACCGCAGAAGCCTCTGAGGAGACCCAGTGCCGGGCGAGCCAAGGGGGTGCTGCGGCAGCAGAGCGGCCTCAGAGCAGGGACCAGCCCACACGTGACCAGAGCCAGGGACACTCTCGGTGGACACGGAGAGCTCTGCGGTCAGGGTATGGGAAGGAAAAGGTTGGGGAGGGACCCTAAAACACTGCATTTATCTAAAGGAGCAAAGGTGGAGTGACTTGAAAGAGTCACTCAGGGGAGCCTGTTGTTTTCAAACCAGAAAATACTAAATTCTTTGAATTGGAAAGTTTACGTTTGTCGTTTATGTTAGATTTTGTTTTGCTTTACTTTCTTTTTTTCCCATTTATTTATTTATTTCTACTTTTTTTCCTCCTTTTTCAGTTTTATTAAGTAGAAGTGTTGCAGTCTGACTCCACATACACATGACATTGCATGGAAATACATATATACGGTACTTTCGTTAGTTTACATATATGTACCAATTATTGTTT